GCCCTTGAGGGGTCACCTCCTGACAGGGGGTGCCAAGGGAGAGCTGCAGCACAGTTCATGGGGTGGGCAGTGAGAGCCTTTGGGGATGCAGCACTGAGGATGAGAGAAGCTGAATCATAAAGCCAAAACAGAAAGAGCTGTCCTGTCAGTACTGGTGGCACAAGGAGCCCTCTTAGCCCTGACAGGAGGGGGTGGCAGGGGGAGTAACTGTGAAACATCCAATGCCAGGAATAAATCCCACTTGAGACTGAAACTGAGAGTGGGAAAAAGCCCTGCTGCTTCTACCAAACCCAGAGAGCTGTCAGAGCTCTTCCTATAACCCCAAACCCAGTCCCTTTTTTTGAGTCGTGATTCCATGCAGTGGCTGCTCAGAATTCCAGACGTGAGGGTTTCTTTGAGCAGTGCCTGAGTCAGTCTGCAGATGAGCACCCAAACTCTCACCCTACAGCTCCACAAACACCAGTGGTGGCATCTCCCTCCTGCTTTCTGGGCAGCTCTGCTCCTCCCTGCAGATCACTGAGCAAAGTGCCCCAGGCTGGACCTGGAACTCCAGCTCCTGCTCCACTCAAGGCCCTGGCAGAGGGGTGACAGAGTCACACAGTGTCCTGTGTCCCCACAGTCCTGTGTCCCCACAGGGGATGTCCCCAAGGTCTTTTATSACCCCACAAGAAGTGGCTGCCCCTTTGCAGAGCAGCTATGGGCTGTGTAGCTCACCCACACCTTCCAGGAAACAGGCAGGGCTCTGTCCCTGAGAAAGGAGACCACAGAGACAGACAAACCTTGCACTGCACCCATTCAGCTCTCACAGCTACCTGTGGGACCAGCAGCTGAAGTTCTGATGTGTCTGGTTTGACAAAGCCCCATCAGCAAGCAGGGAGAAGCAACAGCCATGAGCAGGGGGGCACTGGGGGAGCTGGGCTGGGACCAGCAGGTTCTGTGAGCTGAGCCTGACACAGATCCCATCCTGCCCAGTGCTGGGCTGGGACCAGCATGTTGTGTTGTGTGAGCTGAGCCTAACACAGATCCCATCCTGCCCCGTGCTGGGCTGGGACCAGCATGTTGTGTTGTGTGAGCTGAGCCTAACACAGATCCCATCCTGCCCCGTGCTGGGCTGGGACCAGCATGTTGTGTTGTGTGAGCTGAGCCTAACACAGATCCCATCCTGCCCCGTGCTGGGCTGGGACCAGCATGTTGTGTTGTGTGAGCTGAGCCTAACACAAATCCCATCCTGCCATCTCCCCAGTCCCATGCTGCCTCCAGGCTGTTTCCAGCACTGTAGGAGCTCCTGACCCTCATCTGCAAACTGCAAACCCTCAGCAGTGTCCGTCAGGCTGCACAGGCAGCTCTCAGCTGGGGTTATTTTTTATTTTAATTCACTAATGCCCTTGTTTTGGAGGCACAGAACGTGTTCACCTTTGCCTTGTTTCCATAAATGAGTTTCCTGGGACTGGGRGCTGGCAGTGCCATCCTCTGCTGCCTCCCCAGGGAGCTGCACAGCCAAGCAGAGCAAATGAGCTCAGCTCTGCACAAACTGCAAAGTTCTCCTGAATTCCCTCGGGGAGAACACCCTGGGCACTGCCAGTGCCAGCTCTGWTTGCAGCAGCCTCACACACACAGAGGATTCTCAGAAAAGCAGGGGGTCTGTGTAAAACCTGATTTGCATYATTGGGTTTGCACTACAAAGCAAATCTCCAATTGCAGTGGTTCTTTACTCTGAGCAGTAACACAGCAGCAAAGTGCAGCTGTGCCTGAGCTGCAGCTAACACGAGTTTCTCTTGCACTGGCCTTGTGTTTCAGAGTCCCCCCTTCACCACCAGCTACCCAAACTCTTCAAATTACCACATAAACACTTTCCAATTGCCTGCATTCCACGTGGCAATTCTTTATGATCATCATGATATACCATAACCCGTGTCATACTGTGAATCTGATATTAAAGACACCAATTATACACCCATTAAAAAAAGTTTTAAGAGGTTTCCAGGTATGTTAAGCCATACAATTCATAAAACCAACATCAGCCTTCTTGTTACGGAAAACAAGATCACACAGGAGGTAAAAAAAAATAAAATTAGAAATCTGAACAAAAATCATCTTGCATCTCTCACAATCCAGGATTCAAGAAGAAAATTAAAAATAACTGGYACTACTTTTTGTATGATACTGGGTAGAATAACAAACCATCACACCAGCCCTCGTGTGCTCAGCTCTGCACTGTCACGCCTGCTTAAGCCAGACAAAGGATTTGACTTCMTTTACTGGGAAACAAGCCAAGCCAGTTCTCACAATACATATGAAAAGTAAAAAAAAAACCAAACCAAACAATAACAAAGGCAAACCCCCACAGCAATAAAAYGACTTCCACACCCAAGTGCTAATTGTACCTGAGCTGCCACTTTATCCTGACCCCTGCACAGGCCCAGGGTTCCCATGTGGTTAACACAGGGCTCTGCTTCTCAGGACTGACAAACTCCTCTGGGCTCTGAAAAAACATGGAATCACCTCACACTGAGGCCTCCCAACACCTTCCCTGTCTGGAGCCAATTCCCAGATTTTGCTGCAGCAGCACTGACTGTGTGGGGACAGCAGGGACAGGGGAGCTCAGAGTCCCTGGGAGTGCTGGTAAACTGGCAATGAGATGGGATTACTTCTACTGGAAACAAAAACCTCATTTTCAAAAACACCACATACTATTGTTACAAAAAAATATTCAAATCTTATATAAATGGCACAGGTATGTTTTGAAAGAGTGGAGGGGAAGCTCACAGAAATATCTTATAAGCTTATCAGGCTTATCAGCTCAGAAAATACTCACTTTTTACAGGATATTTCTGCTCTTTTCCTTTCTACCTGGGAAGACAGAATTGCTGTGATCCTTCTGCAGTGCTGCTGAGGGAGCCTGTTTGTGGCTGCCACTGTCCTAAGCTGTCCAGATGCTGACCAGAAAAACCACAGCACAAGAAAAACCACAGCCAAAGCCTGGGTTAAGGCAGGGTTTCCCTCTCCAGAGGCTCTCCACTGCTGTTTTCAGATTGAATAACCATGGAGTCATTTCTCTACAGGACATACCCATCCTCCCTGCATCACCTCAGAGTTCTGGGGACACATTCAAGTGCCAGCATCAACCTGGAAYTGTCTGCAGGGAACCTTCCAGGCAGCCCAGCCCATACTACATGTGACCAGTGCAACTTCAAACTGAAAAGAAACAAAAGAAAAGGAAAAAATGGAAAAGGAAAAAAAAAAATAAAGAGAAACATCAAAGCCTTCCATAAACTTATGCTGCACTGGAAGGGCCACAATGATGCCATTCTGAAGTTTGAGGCTGTTTGCAAGGGAAATGATCAGGAGACTTGGAAAGGGTGCTTGAGTGGATGAGGTTTATCTTGCTCCATTCAGAGGAAAGGATTACAGGCATAAAACTGTCTGTCACCTKGGAGAAGCTGCAGTCTTGTGATTTTGCCTCCAAAGCCTTGGGGATGCAGGGAAGGAAGCTATTTTGCTCAGATTAAAGACAGATGCAGCTTCCTGACAGAGGCTATCCTCTCAAATGAGTGGAGATTGTGGGATGTTTGTCCCTCCTGGTGTTAGCCCTGCACTGACGAGGTGCAAATGAGAAGAGAAGCAGGATTAAAGTGTATTAGAAATACCATCAGGTYATTTCAAATTATTCTTACACCTCTAATTTACATTTGCCCGGATGTTTCATAGTGTGCATTAGTGATTCACAATGATGTACATTTACACACAGCAGGAGAAAATTAATGAATTCCATCACTTCCCTTGTTTGGGGGACTCTATGCCTGAGATGCAGCTCCCTGGTTTTATTATGCCTTTTGATCTCCACAGAGTAATGTGTTTTCCCCTTGGCAGAAATGTGTAATTCTTGCTAATTTAACACAAATTATGTTGATGCACTTTGGGCAGAAGAAGCCTCATGATTTGTTATTTCTTGCACCCTCTCCTAGAAGCAGAATTGCAGCTGCCTGTCCCAGCAGGAAGGGCACAGAGCATCCCCAAATGCATGAACACACAGAGGCAGCTCCAGCCCAGGGTTCACGGCAGGGAATTGGGAATGAAGAGTTCCTGAGCCCTCTCTCCCATGTGACACATCCCTTACTGCATGGCACAGCCTGTGCTGGGCAGGAAATCGTGCAAATAAATAATGATGGCTTTTGTTAGGTAAGTCATGGTGCCATAGGCTCCGCTGGGAGCACTGTCATAAAAGAAGTGACAAATTCCTGTGGCCACRTCTTTCTCCAGGATACTGCCAGTGGCTCCAAATGATTTCTGTAAGACACAAACAAAGAAATAGGGCAAGTTAGGTGTGTGTGCTTATTAAATGGAAAAAACCACCACATGATGATTTTCCATTTGTGCAGAACACTGAAAGCAATTCTCTTTCCCCTCACAAAAACCTTCATCAGGATTACAATCAGGCTCACATGACTGAGTTGGATCAGTGCAAGTAAATGAAGAACATATAACTTCATGGATTTTGGTCCTTTGGGGGGAATGGATGGGATTACCCAAATACTGTAATACTAATGCCTTGATAAAGAAGAATTCACTTTAATTTACCCTTGTACTTCASAGCCTGTTAGCCACTACAATTTTATTCCCTTTAAGTCTCCCACGATTCTTACATTAGTTTTCCAAAATATATTTCCAGAAGATACTTAAGTGATTTGGTCTGTCTTTATAGGAGAAAGAGCCACGACAAAACCAAGTTTATCACACACATTAAAAAAAGAGCAGGGGATGATTTTCAAAGGAGGAGGAGGAGGAGGAGGAGGAGGAGGAGGAGGATTCCCCGCTGCCCTTTGAGCTCACCAGCTCCTGCAGGAACAGCTCATTGGCCATGTGCACAATTCTGTCCACGTGGATGATGCCCCCGATGCTGTTCACCTCGAGGTCAGACAGGAATGTGAGCACCAGAATTGCTTCCACCAGGATTTGTCTGTACTCGGGCTGGGGGACGTGGTTCAGCACCGACTCCACGTGCACYGCAAACTTGATCTCACACGGGGTCATCTGGCAAATGGAGTGGAAATGGAGACAAACTGACAAACCCAAAACAC